AACTGGTTGGCTCCTTCTAATTCTGTCTGGTTGGTTTAGATCACGGGCGGGCAATTATTTCGGGCAGAGGGCTGCATACTAAGTTTTGGCAAGCCATTGAGGGCCGCATGACAGGCAGCAAGGGGCAGATAAATACTAATTTTCTAAATTTTTTAGGGGCCCCGCAGGCCAGATAGAATGGGCTGGCGGGCCGTATGTGCCCACGGGCCGCATTTTGCCCACCCCTGGTTTAGATATTGGCTTGTTGGATGAAGCCCCTTCTTTCCATCTGATTAAAAGAAGAGAGGGAAGGGTAGAGGGTCTTGATAGCAAAACAGAGTGTACATCTCTGCTTTTCAAAAGAGAACAGAATCCAGGTGAGACCCTTGAGCTAAGATGTTACCAGCACTGAACCTCAACTTAATCTTCATATTTGTTATGAACACCTGTTGGTTTTGTTTCCTCTTGCCTCCATCCCACCATGATCCCACACTTGGTGATTTCCCTGTTAGAAATATCATGTGGTATTGACGCAATGTGTAGTAGCTATCTGGGCAAATGGAACATCTTGCTGAGGATGCATTGCAAGCTGTAGAAGTTACTGTGCCTTCCTGCCTGCTGACTCTGGTTTTCACAGGAGAGACAAGTCACTGGTTATTGTGATGCATTAAGGAGTCAAAACACTAAGCTAATCTAAGGCCTGATCTAAATCCTCTTGTCTCTGGATCAGGCAACACGTGGAACCCAAAGAGCATTATCATATTCTACAAGGGATTTAAAGACAGTTAAACCCACTCCTACGCTGTTGTGTTTCAGCGTACCTTCTCATCTGATGGTTGGTTTGCTTATCGCTGCAGGACCCAAAGCGGGAAGTACAGAAGGTAATTCAATTCCTGGGAAAGGACCTGAAGGAGGAGGTGGTGAATAAAATCCTCCATCACACCTCATTCCAGGAGATGAAGAAGAACCCCTCTGTCAACTACGAAACAATGCCCAGCTGGGCTCTGGACCACAGTATATCTCCGTTCATGAGGAAAGGTGAGCGGCAGGAGAGAAGAAACAGTAGAGTGACAGCAGGGTTGGGAATAGCTGTACACGATATTTTTTTAATGCACCTTCACATGACAGGAATTCCTGGTGTCCAGATTCTTTCTCTATGAACCAAGCCCAGCTGCTAAAGATGGGGCTGCCCAGAGGACCAGCAGTTAGAGGAATATCCTAGATAGGCCTGCCCATGTAATTCTTAGGTTGCAGATCTTGCTCCTGCTCTCTCAAGGGCACAGCTAATTTTTTGCCTTGGGCTCAGTTCAGACATCAGGAATTTGGGGCTAAGGCTTCCTGCTTTGCTACCAAGTCTATTCAGGTTGCCCTTGTGGCATGCACATAGTCCTGAGACCATGGGTGGGCAAGAGCTGGTCTATAGCAGGGTTGGCAACCTTTTGCTAGCACAGGCTGTCCTTTGTGACCCAGTCCTTGCTGAGGGCTGCAAGTCCCTGAACCTGCGGAGCAGCCAGCTGTCTGTGCTTGTCCTCACCACTGATCTCCAGTCTTTGTGCAGTGAGGGTAAGTGCAAACCCAGCGCAGCATCAGGCTCTGCTGCAGAGGGAAGGTCTGTGGAGCAAATGAGCAGCACAGAGCAGCTCCATGTTGTTGATCCTCCATGCCGGATCAGACCTTCATGGGCCAGATAGGACATCTTTGTGGGCTGGATCTGGCTTACGAATGCATGTGGCTGAACCCTGGCCTACAGCACACCTCTGTTCCAGGCACATGATCTATATGGCACATCCCTGAAGATGTAATACTGCCAGCATCTTTCCCAGCTCCTTCCCCAAACTTGTGCAAATATTCAGCCTCAAGCTGTTTCTGTTTCTGCAAGCAAAGGAAGTGTCAAGAGTGCTGAACCAGGATGCTGGCCAGCCAGCACGCAGGCTGTAATGCTCTGCATGGGGCCTTGGAAGTGTTACTGGGAAAGGAGAGGACAGTTCTCAGATCCCGGCCAGGGGGCAGAATAGCTCTGCAGTGCACACCGATCTGGTCATTTGTTTTGTTCCCACCAGGGATTTCAGGGGACTGGAAGAATCATTTCACGGTGGCCCAGAACGAGAGATTCAACAGGCACTATGAAGAGCAGATGAAGGGCTCGGCACTCAGATTCCGCATGGAGATATGAAGTCTCCCTGCCCCGGGGTGGGAGGCAGACAAAGGAGGTGAACAGAGAGCCCTGAGGAAGTGTGCATTGTTTTAAATATCATCCTGATTGCCAGGAGCCTCCCTTTTTCTACCTCTGCAGTGCAAATGGAGTCTGAACTCTGCCCCCTGGGTTGAAGGTTGTAAGACATATTGAAAGTTGTACTCTAATAATCTGCAAGAGAAATTTTGCTCCTAATGAATGCATCCTAACCACACATGGTGGGGTATTTGCTGCGGATTTCTCAAAGGACAATCAAATGATATAGGGCTAGGGGTAGCATTGATGCATTTCCTTCTCCTAGTGAAAGCAAGGTGGGGCAAGGGAATCCTTTCCTTTGCTTTTCTGTTGCTGACCTGGAAAGGCAGCCAAGTGAAGGGTCACAGCAGCTGGGATGTACTGAGCCAGTCCGTCCATCTCAGATTGATTTATTGTGGGCCAGAGTTCAAGTAGGCTGGCAATGAACAGGAGAGTGTAAAGGTTTAATCAACTTCCAAATAAAATTCTGTCTGTGTTTAATTTCTCTAGTCCACTGGCTGCATGATTCTAGCCCAGGGAAAAGGAGGCAGGATGTTAGGAAGAGAGAAGGTGTGTTTTGCTGGCAGTGAGTGATGGGTCAAGCAGAGAGGTGGGAGATTTTATGGAGCATGGGCAAGTCTTGAGGGACTTGTCCATCAGTACCCACAACCCAGCCACCCCTGGAAATGCACAGCACCTTGGTGAGTGCTATGGATTATGCATAGACAGGTGTCTGGGAATAGTTGTCTTCTCAAAACTGCCCTCTACCCTTCACTGTTGTTACACCTCATCAAATTCCTTCTGACCCTTCCCTTCAGTCTCACTCATTGTGCAATGTAGTAGGTTGCTCCCCAGATGCTTCCATGATGCAAAAACAAAGCAGATCGTCCTGGGAACAGCACTTTCCCATACCCACTCTGTACTTCTTTCTTGGCAAGCCCATAGTCAGCGGGGGAAATTTAGGCTTTGTCACTTTGTCCAACCTGAAAATCTACCAGCCTTCTGCATTTCCCCTTGCTCATTTATAAGCAGGGAGGCTGAGAGCTTTAGAAAGAGCAGCCTAAGTGTAGGCTTAAATTCCCTTTTCTGTACCTAACTAGAGGGCCTGAGTTTCCCAAAGTGTTGAGAACCCTATAGCTTACATCCTAGTCACTTAGGATTCTCCAAGGAGTCTCAGGGATTTCAGTGCCCATATCCCACTGAATGTAATGGGAGACGGTGCAAAATGCCCTGGGGCCTCTCGGAAAAAGGGAGGCTGTCACATGCCAAGTACATTAAAAAATTAATCAGAACTTGTGGTAGAGTTCTGATTAATAGAACTCTGGTCTTTTATTAGACCAACTAGATTTTTGCAAAAAAAAATTCTTTAATTGCAAGCTTTTGGGCACAAGCACCCTTCTTCAGGCATAGGAGAAAAGATTTTCATAGATTTCATAGACATTAGGGGCTGGAAGGGACCTCGCATGATCATCGAGTCCAGCCTCCCTGCCATAGGCAGGGAGGCCGCTGGGGGACCATCGAGCCCCCCCCCCCTGCCATAGGCAGGAAGTCTGCTGAGGTCAAATGATCCCAGCAAGATATGCATCCAAATGCCTTTTGAATGGGTCCAGAGTAGGTGCTTGCACCACATCTGGGGGGAGTCTGTTCCAGACCCCTGGATACTTAGACTGTAAAGGAGTTTTTCCTTATGTCCAGTCTAAATCGGCCTCAGGAGTTTGTGGCTGTTAGACCTTGTTATCCCTTGGTGGGCCCTGGTGAACAACTGTTCTCCCAGATCTTGGTGCATCCCCTTTATATACTGATAATCTGCCACCAAGTCCCCCCCGAGCCTTCTCTTCCCCAGGCTGAAGAGTCCCATGTTGCTCAGCCTCTCCTTGTAAGGCTTGCTCTCTTGGCCTTTGATCATACAGGTGGCTCTCCTTTGGACTCTCTCAAGCTTATCCATGTCCCTCCTGAAGTGGGGTGCCCAAAACTGGATGCAGTACTCCAGCTGTGGCCTCACTAAGGCCAAGTAGAGTGGGGAGATGACATCTCTGGTTTTGCTTGAGCTGCATCGGTGGATTCATGCCAGAGTTTGGTTTGCTTTGCCAGCCATGGCATTGCATTGGTGACTCATGTTCATCTTGTAGTCAATCAAGACCCCCAAGTCTCCTTTAGTTATGGTGCTAGCAAGTGTAGCACTGCCGAGCCTATAAGTATGATGCTGGCTCTTCCTCCCAAGGTGGAGCATCCTGCACTTTTCCCTGTTAAATGCCATCAAGTTTTGGTTTGCCCACCTTGTGAACATGTCTGAGTCATAAAAGTTACCTTTAGCAACTAGGGGTAAGCTGCAGTCATGCAACTCTCCCTATGAGGAAAGGCTGAGGGACCTGAACCTGTTCAGCCTCAGCAAACGGAGGCTGAGCGGGAATTTGGTGGTTGCCTACAAACTCGTTAGGGGAGATCAGCAGCAAATAGGAAGGGTCCTATTCCCCCCAGCACCATCTGGAGTGACGAGGAACAATGGCCAGAAGCTGCTGGAGAATAGGTTCAGGTTAGAGAGTAGGAGGCACTATTTCACTGTTAGGGTGGCTAGGATCTGGAACCAACTTCCTAGGGAAGTGGTCCTCACTCCTACCTTGGGTAAATTCAAAAAGAGGTTGGATGAACACCTGTCTGGGGTCATGTGATCCCAGCGTGTGCTCCGGCCAGTGGTGAGGGGTAAGACTAGATGATCTATTTAGGTCCCTTCTGACCCCTAACTACTATGAAACTATGAAACTCTTACACTGGTATGGGGTAGTTATACCCTTGATCAGGGTTGCCAACTCTCTGTAATTTTGTAGACCATCTGTCTTCTTCTTTTCTTCAGCAATCCTTCCCAGTTGAGGATGATTGTCTTCCATGACTTCCATGTCTTATCTATGTGTCCAAAGATGGCTGATGAAGCCTATCCAGGACCAACAGACTCTACTGCAGCTTGAACATGTGTTTCCATGTGGGGGTGGGGTGTCGCTGGAAAATTATGCTTTCTGTAAAAAACACAAAACTGCTGGAGCTGATTGAAGCTCAGTAGTGGGAAATAAGCTGGGTGCAGTGTTGGACCACAGCTAAAACACAGAAGCTCTACCTGGTATCTGAGGGGAGCACAGTACCTTGAAGTGCTCTTCTCAGGATTTTGTGGCTCCATAGCTCCTTCCCCTAGTTCTACCCATGTGCTGGTACTGATTGTAACACTGCTGGGTGGCAGTAAAAACATGTCAGTACAAATGTTTGGTTGTCAGTAAAAGCTTGTAGATTATCAGAAAAAAAGTTGTCTTGGGTTGACAAACTTGGCTGTAACTTATGTGCCCACTCCATGTTTATACCCATGTAGAGATTGTTTACACTGGTATAATCATGTTATTTATCTAAGCCCTTTGTCTCCCTGCACTGCCATTCCCCATCTAGAACAGCATCACTTTTCAGCCTCTCTAGGTGAGGGCTTTGAAGATTTAAGTTTATGAGTGAAGCAGTAAATAGATAACAGAAGTACTTAGAAAGAAAATATGAAATAAAGTTTTTGAAAGAAAGACTGTTCCAGGGCACATCAGATTGTCAGATTTCTGTGAGCTTCCCCTGAGCCTGGTGCGTAGGTGGAATAGGATACTTCTGGAATTGGAATAAGCGATCTGCTTGTTATCGAACATGTTAATCGTATGGTTCTGGAGAGTAAGGTAAGTGCATTTTTATTATGCAGCATACAACTCTTTTGAATGAGTAATGCAAACCATGTGGGTTAGGGTGCACTAGAAATGAATCCTTTGAATAGGAGGTGGGGTTTTGAAAAGGGAAGCCCTACAATCTCACAGCTGTGATTTCAGTGAAGCTCAAATGAGCATTGCTGGTAAAACACTTTGTTTTCTCTGAAATCAGTGACAGACTGCTTGTTCCCACTCATATTTGGTCTGTTTGTCACATAATTTCTCTAAGCGTAAGGTAAGCAGAGACCAGTCTTCTAAACCCCAAACTTCCACCAGATTTTTAAGCTAGCTTTCAGTGGTGCATTATTTCCCCATACACAGAGAGCACCCCTGAAAGGGGGCTAATTACAATTACATTTGGTCTCTATCAACAGCTAATAAGGAGCTAACGTTCCTTTATATGATCCATATGTCTGTATGTAACATGCTGCTTATACAAACACTGAAACATAAAACATATTTTACACTGAACAAACAATCAGCATTTTGCTTATTTGACCAACTATCAGCCAGTGCTTGTGTTAAGAAGCTTTCTGACCGGACAATGGCTGAATGCATCTCAAAAGGAAAATACAACACATGCACAGCAAAGAGAACACCTAAACTTTGGAAACAAATGTCTATCTGCAGGAGGAAATGATACAGAAAGATAGGAATATTTCTATCATCCTTGAACAGAATGAAGGATAAGATGAGAAAGTCTCTTGAGGAACAGTATAAAGGGACCCCCAGCGTAGGGGAAAGAAGGAACCCAGGCAGGGAGGCTGGAGAGTCACCCAAGAAATGACTGGGTTTGCTGGCTGCTGGGACGACAGACAATGCCAGGAAGATACTGCATGTTAGAGAGTAGCAGAGAAGTGTTTCTGGTTTTGTTTCGTAGTTCTGTCTCCAGACCTACAGTCCTTTTGTTTCTGTGTCTCTGTTTTAGGTAATAGCCCTGAGTTGGGTTTTCACCTTGTAGTTTGTCTGGTGGTAATGGTGAGTTCAGGGTGGCTGGCTGCCACAGGTATTTTGTTTCTAGGAGAACTGCAGACCTACGGCATTTACAATCCCAGAGAACCCCTCAGAGCTGGAGGGTGCCTCCTCCACCAACCTGTAAGGTCTGTTCCTACTGCTTAGACTGAAATTTGCTACAAGAGATGAGTCTCTCAGGTGCCAGATCTGGTCAAAATCCAAAGGATACACAGCATGGCAATGGGCAGAGACTCTACGGCTCTGGGGTCACCCCCAAGGTCAGGCCAAGGGGGACTGTCTTACTAACAAAAGGCAGGCCTTTGAA